TTTCAGAAGTCAGAATAAGATTCTTCCCTAATTCTGACAATGGTTACTGATGTCCAGCAAATTATCTTGGATTGAATTATTTTAAGTAACATAAACCATTATAAATGGTAAGAAGGTAAAGAGAGAGGGAAGGGAAAGGGAAAGGGAAAGGGAAAGGGAAAGGGAAAGGGAAAGGGAAAGGGAAAGGGAAAGGGAAAGGGAAAGGGAAAGGGAAAGGGAAAGGGAAAGGGAAAGGGAAAGGGAAAGGGAAAGGGAAAGGGAAAGGGAAAGGGAAAGGGAAAGGGAAAGGGAAAGGGAAAGGGAAGGATTACCTAGTGTACACCAGCAATAGCTATTTTAGTCTCAGTAGATAGTGGAAGTTACATGAAATAATATTTCTTCCGTAAATTAAGGCATGCTTTAATTATGCCTGCTTGTATTGTATAGAAACACTGGGAGTTACCAAAAGGTATAATGCACATACTTTAAAAGGGAAAAATATTAGAGGACAAAATGTGAGCAATACTGCTTAAAAATTTCTGAAGGAAGATGTTTTTTGATCACTAATGACTGTTGATTTCAAACCATAGTCAACATGCAGAGAAAAATGCAACTCTGGTTGATTACTGTGAATGGCAAACTACCTCAGTTTCTTTTGAAAGGTCCCTTGAGTTGTCCTTGGTTATAATTTTAAAATTAAATTAATTGTCAAACAGGGTGAGCCATAAATCTGAATATTCTTTGACTTCACATATTTTTGCTAAATCTTTGAGCTGTACAGTACAAAGAGATAGTCATGCTTGACAGGTAAATAAGTCAGCCACATCAATCACACAAAATATACATTAACACTATACAGCCAATTCATCAAGCGACTGAAGTCTAAAATGCTTTTCAGTTGGCCTGACTTTCCTACATGGCTTGAATGAAAAACTTGAATTCTCTGGATTCCCGTTACAGGTATTAACTCTTCCAATCCCCTTGAAAATTGCAGTCACTATTCAACCATTTTACAGACAAACAGAACGTGTGATGTCAGCAACACACTCAGGTTATCCTTCTTGGGAATTCTGTTTCGAAGATTGTAACACAAAATGGTGACTCATCTAAAAAATTTTGGTTCCTGACCATCACTTTACCTGATTCAGGGTGGACAATTTTAATATATTAAAAAGTCAGAATAAGAACCCTAACAAATGCCTTAAATTCCACATGTTTTTCTTACAAAATCCTTAGAGATTAAATTATATGATCACCATGAGGAAGAATATATTGATTCATAATGAGTTTCCCTGGAAAATGTTTGGCTAAAATCCATTTGCTTGTGTACAGCGCTGATATTGTTTGAAATGTTATCCACTTTGTCCTGTAAATAGGTTTGGGGAAGGAGAGATGAGGATTCCTTAGCAAGAAATTATATTGATGTATGTATCTTGGTCCAGGCCTCAGATATAAAAAGGCATCTTGCCTGTAATCTTAATAGAACAATTATTCAAGGAAAGTGGAATTTACTTTGAGACCTTCTTTTCTAGTCACATTTCATTCTGTGTTTGTCTGCAAACCTTGAAAAAATTGTCCATCTATGTGTTCAGTCCCTGTCAAATATGGGATTTAGATAACTGGCATTAATATAAGCAAATTTAGCAGCAAAGAAAGTAATGAAATACACAACTATGTTAAACAGATCTTGTAAAATGACTCTCCAAGACAGGTTGCAAGGGGTAAAATACTAAATGGGAAATTTCTAGGGTCCTTACTTTAAACTGTGTGACAGTACTATAGCATAACAATGGGCATAAATTGATTGCCTCTGCCTGTTTGGTTTACAGTGACTGATTTTAATCAAGCAATTTACATTGTGTAAAAATCCTTTTTCCTCCTGCAAAAATTTATCCATTATATGTAGATAAGAAAGTCAGACCTTTCAGAAAAATCTTAGCTCAGATTCAAAGGGAAACACAAATTCAGTCTGCCGTGTCCCAGTCAGGCTACAGATTAACCTCCCTTCCTCCTATTCAAACTGATACACTGCCTTGACATTTTGACAAACTGAATTTTTCTGATGGGAAAATTATTTCAAGAAACAAAGAAAACTTCTGATCACTCCAGCTTCATTACCATTCCTACATAATTAAAACATTATGCACTTTGTTTACTGTCCAACCTAGTATTTCTTGCATGCTCAATACATTTTTGAAGGAAAGAAAATTTCAATTTTAACATTTTTCTTTAACGTGTATGACAGCCCTTCTCATATCTTATCAGGATTATTCTTTTTGAGATATTGTATTTAATTATGTAAGACTTCCTCAAAACTCTGGAGAATTTGGTGTATTGCAGTCTAGAAAAGAAAAGTAAAAAATCTATAATACATATTGATAAATGTCACCACTAAAGATGAGATAGGATGTTATTTTATATGGTGTTGCAGTTTTAAAACCTTTATATTAATTTGACATATACTGAATTTCCAATTTAAATAAAAAGCCAACAGATAATTGTATTCATTTACTATGAGGAACACTTGAACTAATTTAAAGTAATGCAGCAAATTACCTAAAACTATTTAGTCAAATACTAGAGAGAGGTCAAACCTAGGGCAGCACAATTTAAATCAAATTGAATTCCATCTCGAGAATGAGTTTCAAATAGTTTTTAATTGCAGTATTTTGTCCACGGGGCATTCTATCACACACTTTTCATTTGCAAGTAAAATCTACCAGAACGTCCTCATCAGGATAGTGTCAGGTCTCTCTTCATTACAATATTTCTGTATTATGAAACATGTAAATATGTTCTGAGGCTTTCTCTCATTGCTCGTTTTGCTTATAGTTAATCTCTCGAGCCAAACATTGGGTACTTCCCAGGTCTGATTCATTTCATCAAGCAGAAAAACAAGAAACAAAACCATAACACTGGTTGGGCTTTTCCTCATACACCCGAGAGAAGCTGCAAACATGGTGCAGATGTTTTCCTGTAATGGGTCATCCACACCAGGAAAAGCTGGTCTGTGAAGTTGGCACGGTGGCTGCACAGAGCCTGCAGAAGGATGCGACCCCGCTCGTGAAGGGTCCTGTCAATTTACTGCTCTCTGGCAGTACTGCCTAAGCACAGACGATGCCAAGCTAAGCATTTTTTTCAGTGCTATGAGGGTTTTGGTGTGCAGCATCGCAGTCTGGGAGGAAAAACACTGTGACAGCACTGGGACTGTCCTGGAGTGCCCCTGAGTGCAGGGTTAACCAAATTTGGTCTTTCACTCTGCTTCCAGGTACACATAAGGTTATCAGTGATCCCCTCTTCTATCCTTTTACTTCCATGTGGATCACAGCCTCAGAAAGAAATGGGAAGGTGAGGTACAGCTATGAGGACAACAGAAAAATTACTGTTTCGGACACATTTTGGCCTCTCCTCTAGCCTTATGCAAGTTGTCCTTACCACTGCTGGAAATCTAGCATCCGTAAATTAGATTTAGAGTACATCAGAAGATGCCTTTGTAAATGAAAACAGGTTCCTAAGTTATTTCCACTAGTGATTCTGGAAAAGAAGTAGTAAATACTTTGCAAAAAGATTACATACAGTATTTTTCAGTTAAAGACAGTCATATAATCCTTTCAAAATCACAGTGACAAGTTCATCTTTTGTACATACCCTTCAGGATAGATGGCAATAGCTAAACTGGTCCATTGGTTTGTGAGTTTTTTTGACAAAACATTTGTTAAATGAATAATAACCGCAAATGTATTTGCTCGTTTTTCTATGAAGAAGACTTGCAGGAAAGTTTCGTTCTTGAAATACTGTCAAATTATTCACAGTACTTTTGTTTACAATCAGTCCTGTCTACAGTTCTATTTCAGATATTTTGTTGTGTGGGACTGAATTGGTTTCAGATGGGAGCAGTCACCACAAGTGAAACAATCAGTTCCAGATATGACATACTTTGCTTTGTTAGAAACACTTTTCTTAAAGGTTACAAAGAGACATTAAATACCTGGGGGGGTTATTTGCTGTTCTTCCTAACACAGTACTTTCAGTGAAAATTAGCACAACAGAGAACTTTTGCATTATTTGTATGTCATGTAATCTCCCAGAATAATTGAGTTGTAGATTTGCTTTAAATATATATTTAAAGGACCCTGAAGTCACATGCTAATGGTCCTAGCAAGCAGCTGATACTAGTAAACTCACTGAAGCCAAAACACACTACAAAATTAAAAGCAGACAGTTGCAGGAACTGGAGCAGAAGTACACTACAATAACTTAGATGAAGATTTTAAAATCTATCCTGGTTTGTTGAAAACTACTAATAAAAGAGTCTCCTGTCAGTTTGCAAGTGGTGCAGCTCCTCACAGAGACAGCAGCAACATCAGGGAGTTGGAGAACAACTGGTTTTAGAACTGGACATTATTCTGGGTCTACCAAACCAGTGGCATCCAGCTCCAGCACAAAGCTGATTGTGGCAGATGTTCCACAAGTTCTCATGACAAAGAAATGACCATGTCGTACAAATAGAGGATGTGGTAAAGCAGATAAAATGGGTGTGAGAGCCCTCAAACCAGGAAAGTTCTTGTACCCATACTAAATTTTATGTTTAAAGTTAAAAAAAAAAAAAAAAAAAAAAAAAAAAAGTTTCAGTATCTTCCTAAATCATGGTCATCAAGAAAAAAACATTTTACATGAAAAATAAAAAAAAAAAGGACCAAGTATTACTTGTTCACTCTAGACTTTCCATGTAAAAACTTGCACAAGTCATCTGAATATGTGAAATTTTAAGGGCCTAGATGTGCTACTTTGTAAATATTTGATTTCTTATCTAAAATTCAGTTAGGTAAATGGTATTTTTTTCTGAGTTAAGCTCCTATCATAACAGATCAGACCTTTCTATTGTTAAATTGTGTATTGGTCACTGTATAAATTTGATACTGAAAGTGGCTGTTTTAAATTCTTCATATAAATGTTCTGATATACTATATATATATATATATATATAAAAATACCTAAAACTTCTATTATTCACTTGACAGACTTGAATCAAAGGAGCCTTTCCTGTCTGTTGGGTAAGTACAAATATGTATATTTCTATGGATATTTATACACTCAACTATCATACAGTGTAATTTATGAGATTATGTTGAGCATAAACATCCTGTTCCAACATTATGGTTATTTACTATGCCTGATCTTAGAAAAAGTAGTGGTTAGTCAATAAAGTCAGCAGTTGTGGATATCTCCCTTCTTTAAAAATACTAAGAAATATGTGTCACCTCTACTGACTAACCAAAATTTATGCTAAAATACATGTAGAAGTTAAATGTTGCATTGAAAGGTAGGAGGTTTATTATTTTGTTTTCACTGATCTTTCAGTCAGAAACCATTTCAAATATTGTCTGTTCCACTTGTCTAAGCCCCTGAATAAATAATTCATAGTTTCTTTTAAAACTAAAAAATATTGTGATACTTCAGCAACAGAAGAAAAAATAAATTCATAAAATAGAAAAATATCACATTTTTAGCCTAATTATAGATCACTACACCGATTCATGTATTACAGCTATTGACTTCATAGTCTCATAGACACTTAAACAATTCTATGGCCTATATATTAAAATTATTATCTCATCTTTCTAAAAACTTATTTTTAAATGTGACATATTCAGATAAAAAAGTAACATTCTTTTATAAAGTATAGACTATTATATATATTAAATGTAAGTATCTGTATTTTACTTCTGAGTCTGAAGTTCACTTTTCATGCACTGTTTTCCTTTGAGCTTCTTTCTTTAAAACTTTCCTAAGTTTCCTAACATTCCCATCCCCTGTTTTTCTTCAGAACTGTATATTCTTCATGTATCTTCATTCTCATTTTTCTTTGTTCACACCATGCTTCATGCTACCATGAACATAAACCTCAGACAAAAAATTCCATGAAAAATAGATATTTAAGTGTTACTTCTACCATGTAATTATAAGTAGCTTCCAAATTGTTGTATTAACTGCAGATCAAGTTCTGAAGTGCGAATCAAAGTTAGCAAACAAATGAAGTGTGTCAGTTATGAACAGAGAAACATAACTATTCAGCATATACAGGATTGAGATATGTCTCAGTTGCTATAGCATGAAGTAACTTTGAGTATATTTTGAATTAATTTTTTGCCATTTCTACTTTCTACCAACTCAAAATATTTGAATAATAAGTTAAATGCCAGTCAAGTTGGAGGATGGGGGGTGTGTTCTTGGTCTGCATGCTTTGAAATGTCCAAATTCATTATCAAATTCAGTCATTTCTGTTACTACCTTTCATTACTCCACTTTGTAACTTGTTCTCCTAAGCTGTTTTTTTGAGGCCTCCACTCTCATAATAATTACTTGAAAATCTCAACTTTAAGACTAAAAAAGAAGTTGCATGCCATTGTGGCTGAGGAGCAAACTTGAAACTATAAAAATCCAGGAAGCAAATAAAAGACAGTGGTAACAATTATATTTATATTAATTGCCACAGAATAATAAATCCTACTTTTGTAGTTCTTGTCATGATCTTAAGAGCTTTGCTGGCAATTATAGGATATTTGGGGATGTCTACCTACAAGGAAGCATTATGTTTACATTTTGGGTTTGGGTTTGTTTCCACATAAGCAGCTTGGTGACCACTGTGGAAATCCAAATTATCTCCACACAGACATTTTATGTGATTTTGTTGCTAAATTGGATTCCTCTTGGCAAGTCTAATCTGATCAAATAGACTTAGCTTTTTCCTAGAACTTCCCAGAAGTTTGCCTGTAATATACAAGTTCATAATGACAAGGATCAAAAATACAAAAATTAGTCCCCACTTCTGTGCTGCTTTTACCACTGTATTTCTTCACCCCAAAGTAGGGCTTCAGAGAGAGCTTAGATTGCTCTGAGGGGCCCAAACCAACATCCACCTCCTTAGTACTAAGTGAGAGAGATGCTCCTCCTAGTCCCACAGTAATTTGGGGGTTCATTTGTTCAAAGGATGAGCTTTTGTGCCAAGACTTGTAGCTAAGGTTTTAACCCAGACTGACAACTGCAACCACCAGCCTTTTAAAATACAGTAAATGTTTGCAGAAGAAATGCTGGCTCAGCCTCGATTAGACTAACACGTGGGTGACCTTAATGCCTCCTGCATCCAGAGTTGGTCAAAACACCAATCTAAATTACTTCAGGTTGCCTACAGATGACTTGGTCCTGCACACCAGCCTTTTATTCATCTACCTTCTGCGACAGAGTTTTGTTTCCACATTTTCATTATATTGCCTGTAGGGGGTAATTCTGCTTTTTCATTTTGCCATGCCTAAACTAATGACTTCTTGGTGATTTTCCTCTGTTAATGGAAAACCCCCCACCAAGAGGTGGGGGAAGGGGACATGAAGTGTGGTAGTCTAAGAGCTCAAGACTGCCACAGTTTGTTGATCTCTGAATGTATGAGCAGGGCTGCAGCCTTCCCATGAGATACCCCACAGGGGAAAAGTGGTTCTTAAAATGGTGGGTTGTTTCCCCTCTCTCAGAAAGCAGCAATCTATAGAAAGAATCAGACCGCACCTTTTGGTATTGTAGTTTGTGGCTCGAATGCAGGGACAGAACACATCCTGTACTCCCTTGGTAAAGGAAATTTGGTTTACCCTTCTTTTTATGCAAAGTGCATAGCAAAGAGGAAAAATCTATGCACCTTTACTCTGTGTGCAAGGCAGGAGCATAATTTGACACTGAAATAACAGTAACTTCTTCAATACAAGACCCTAATGGTAGCAATCAGGAGCAAAATTTCACCAAGTATGTGATCTATTCATACAAGAGTATCTGTATTCAATGTTATGATTTTGGGCTAGAATACAAAGTTGAATTTGAGATACATGTTGTCTTTCTTTATCTCTTAGAGGTGAAAATAAAATACTCAGGGGAGGCTGAAACATCTCTTAACAGTGCTGAAAGCTGAGTGTTAGCCTGTAGGGGCACAGGGTGCTTCCCCCCACAGGTGTTATTTCCACACTTCTGGGGTTTGTGACTATATTCAACCTGAGCGAGACAGAGAGTGGTCTGGACTTTCTTCCTTCTTGAAGTTTCATTCATGTTCATGTAGGGTTAGAATAAAAAAAAAAAAAAGAAGTTGTGCAAATAGCCAGAATGCCTGGAAAACTTTACCATCAGAGGCAACAGTTCTGGTAAAACTCCACTAAAGTGAAGGCTACTGACAATGCATCAAGTTGACTTAATGCAGAAGTCTTTGAAAGATTCAGACCCAGAAAGACCAGGCAGATCAAGAGGTACGAAAAACTGGGTACTGCAAAAAGGACAACCTAAGAGCCAACTCATATTAAGTTTATCCCACTTAGTGGCAAAAGATGTATTATATTTTAAAAATATATATTTTAAATGTCAACAACTTCTAATTATCCACATTTGATCTCCATATTTGGCATTTTGTTCTTAATACTAATAATGCACAATTATCCCCTCAACAAAACTGTTATCATTCTCTCTAGATGATTAGATCAGTAATCTAGTTACTAACCATTCACCCAGCTATTTCATGGCAGCTGATTTATGACAACTATCTGCATGTAAAAGTTTAGCCCTTGATAAATTCCAGATAATATAGCATGTAGATTTGTAATTTGTCATCAGTCTGAGCCCTAAAATTCAACACTCATTTTGTAAGACACAGACACTGCAGCATCTTTTAAGACCTGTAATAGTATTATATGGCCAAGAGAGACCATAATTATTTTGTAACTGTCTCACACAGTAGAAATGCTTTGAATTAATTCTTGTTTGTATCTAACTGTAATTGTATGTAACTTTCATAACAACATCCAGTCTTTTGCACATGCAGTGGTAAGAAATCCATCACAGCAACTAATAAGTTTGTCAGACTTTTAAAAATACATGTCTTCTTTATTAGGTGTCATTTATTATGTCCCATATTGTTGAATTCAGAAGAGATAGGGAGAGGGAATACAAAACACAGCTGATTTTTTCTGAGGCTAGTGAGAACTTAGATTCATCTACTGCCAGCTGCAGAGAATGAGATTACTTCTGGATAAGCAGGCAATAGCTCTTCAGTGAGATGGTCTTTGAAAATGCATGTGTTTTATACATCTGGTTGTCAGCTGAGATTCAATCTATTGCTCTTTCTTTTGTGTAGATGTTTAAAAAAAATACAATACAAACTGCTGACTTTTTCACTCTTTTTTTCATTTTTCAAGATAGGTTGTTTGCTATAAACAGTATAAATTTAGGTGGAAAGTCCAGAGAGCAACATAAGTGAAATGAATGCATTGTATGCATTTATAATATGATGAGTAGTTGTCTGTTGTGGGAGAGAGATACAAGTAAAATTGGCACTAATTGCTGTATTTTTTTACATTTTCAGTAAAAAGACTAGTGATCTGTATGAACTACTACTTTCTTCACTGAGGTCATGTTTCTAGAAAGTATATGACAACAGAAAATACTGAAAAGCCATGTTTTTCAAATAACAGCTTAATCACAGTACCTTTCAAATCACAGGTACTTACTTCTGGAAGAGAAGGAGGAATTTTGGAGGGCTCAGATTTTTGAAGTTCTTCCAAAATACAAAGAGTAAAATTCCTTCATTTTCTTCTGGCAGAATTGATCTGAGAACTGTCTAACAACTTAAATTTGTCAACCACATGTTTTCATTTTGCTCAGTAGTGTTTTCTTTCCCATAATGCACTCCCATTTTGCAGAAGATCTGTAGGAAATCCTGCCCTCAAACACCAGTTTGAGGGATACCATTCTAAAGAAGTGAGATAATTAAAAAAAAAAAAAAAAAAAAAAAAAAAAAGAGCCTAGTCCTTGCAGACTCTGTTAGGATAATATTTAGTCCACTTCCAAAATACACAGGTTCTTTCAATTCATAGTCAGTTTTTTTGTGTTTTTTTTTTAATAGACAATAGGTTTCAGGGCACAAAACCGCATGTAGCCACATGTGATCCTCTGTACAACAAATACTGTAACACTTGTCCTCCTATCCTGATTATCAGATAGCACCAGCAGAAGAAGCCAACATTATTCC